GCCAGCGAGAGCAGCCCTTGTACTAGAGCAGCATTGTGCTGGGTTTTCCTGCGCACGCTCTCTAGCTCTCTCCCGCTGTCTGTCTGTCTGTGGAGTTCCCGCTCCGGGGAACAATGGCACTGCATGGCAATATTTGCACCGTTGCCAAAGGATAACCTCATTAACGAGGATTCTTGCTAGTCAATCAGCTCTTGACGTTTATATCTACCATTATACTTGAAAAAACTGAATAATTTCAAAATTGCACTGAAAATGAGAAATATATTTGAAATGGGAAATACAGGATTCGTCTATTCATTCTCTAATTTCTGTATATGTATTGTATTGAAATGAATCCTGTAAATATGTATATTTAATTGACCGCACGCTGGAAAAGCCATCTGTAATGAATCTTATGACTTAAACATGATAACTTCTATAAATATTCACAATACAATCTCCTCGCATTGGACAGCTTTTGAAATGAATTTATAATTCCGCCAAATATTATTTTTTATAAATTTAATCTTTCTATATAATTGAAACCTTTGCTATCAATGTTATATATATATATATATTTATAATAAGAATATATATAATATATAGATATTGAAGAGGACCAAAAACTGGGATACAATATAATTACAGGTTGTAGGACCGCCACGGAGAGCACACAGAAAGGAGAGCACGCAACGAAAGACATTCATGGGATCGACTCTAATGTCTAAGTTGATCTACTGGGAGGGAATTGCACCGATGAAGTCCTGGGCAGGGCTGTCCATAAACTCGTAAGAGTACGAGGGGGTGGAGATCTCTTCTGAACAGCACGTTGCAAAGCATCCCAGATATGCTAAAAATGTTCATGTGTGGGAATTTTGGTGGCCAGAGGAAGAGTTTAAGTTCAGAAAGGTTTTCCTGGAGCAATTCTGGACGTGTGTCCTGTCGCATTGTCCTGCTGAAATTCCCCAAGTTGGTCGGTATGCACAATAGACGTGAATAAGTGCAGGTGATCAGACAGGATGCTTACGTACATGTCAGAGTCGAATCTAGACGCATCAGAGGACCCATATAACTCCAACTGCACACGACCCATTCCATCACTGAGTTTCCACCAGCTTGAACAGTCTCCCTGTTGTCAAATGTGTGACCCTGTTTAGGGTCCATGGACTCATTTGGTTATCGCCATACTCGTACACGTCCATCCATTCGAAACAATGTGAAACGAGACTCGTCAAATGAGACAATGTGTTTCCAGTCAGTTCAATGTGTTGACGGGCCCCGGCGAGGCGTACAACTTTGTGTCATGCAGTCATCAAGGGTACACGAGCGGGTCTTCAGCTCAGAAACCCCATATTGATAATGTCTCGTTGAACGGTTCGCAGGAAGACCCTTGTTGATGGTCCAGCAATGAAATCTGCAACAATTTGCGGAAGGGTTGTACTTCTGTCAGGTGTAGTGATACTCCTCATTTGTCGTTGGTTCTGTTCTTGCACGATCTTTTTGAGGCCCCAGGGATGCCGGAAGTTTGATGTTTTACCGGATTCCCGATATTCACCGTACTCTCGTGAAATGGTCGCACGGAAGATCCAAATTTCATCGCAACCTCGGTGAGGCTACGCACCATCTCTCTTGCGCCGACTATAACACCATATTCAAACTCACTTAAATCGTGATAACCTGCCATTGTAGAAGTAGTAACTGATCTAACAACTGTGTCAGACTGGTTGTCTTATACAGTCGCTGCCGACCGGAGCGCCGTATTCTGTTTGGTTCCAGATCTCTTTATTCCAATACGCATGGCTGTACCAGTTTTTTTGGCTCTATATATATACTGTTACTCTACTGTTTGTTTCATACTTTTGCACTATTCAACAACAAAATTTAATATAAAAATTTGAAGCTTTTTTTTTGTTTTTAAATTTTGAAAATTTTCCAGGGACTTCATGTAAGTATCCTCAAAATTAAAATATTGGTTTCAAATTTTGGAGTCCGTGACATCAGCTAGACCGATTGGGGAATATTAATTTTGGAGAAAATCGGCTGAATGTTTATGCGCTAGCGTTGTGCACACACGTGCAGTCAGACAAACAGACGTTTTACCGTCTAGTAGTGACCTAATCTAGCATAAGCAGCTTATGAAGGATGCCCAAAACATTGATTCTGGCTACACCACTTGTTAGAGGATTTTTCCTATATTTTTCCACCTTTTCCTTACCAGGGCTCGGATTAAGAGTTTTTGTTTCGAAAATTTGTCGTTTTCTGTCGCACGATTACAATACTTTCTCTTCATACTTTTGTAAGTGCGAGAAAGTAGAAGTAATTTAATTTTAATTATAATTTACTATTAAATATGCGAATATTAATTCTGTTTTTACGCAATTTGTGTTCTCAACGTATTGATGTATTTCTTTTTAAGTAATCTGCAAAGCTTAATAGAAATATCGCAACAATGCGGCATCGTTTTTTGAAAATATATTTTTTGTCAAATTTGAGATGTTGACTATGATAAGATACAGCTGTTTTATTAAGTTCAGCTGGTGGTGGTGTAACCGTTTGCGATGAATTTCTCAGTAGCTTTTTATAAATTACTTCTCAGAATGCCCGGGGAGGTATGTTATACACCATTTAATATCATGTGATCCCTGAAAAAAATTACTGATGAGTATAGAATAAAAGAAAAACGAAGAAACGCTGCCAGAACTGCTATCTTACGACAAAAGGCATCTCAGGATTTAGCAGTCAGAATTTTCGTTGTTACTTTGATGTCAATTGCATGTATTCTAATGACAGTATTGAAATTATTAGCCAAGCAAATGGGCTATTGACAACGCTGCGCTATCTGCAGTGCGTTGCTCTCTTCTGTATTATTTGCTGCGGATATTGTATTAGTCAAATGGATTCCTGTTTGTTTCATTTGTCAAAGTAAGAAATGATTGCTGCTCCTGACTATCGAAATGAATGCTGCCGCTTTGAATTGGCTTTGAATTGGACGTTTTCAAGTAAAAGCTGAGGTGTTAGCAGCGCAGAAAATGCAATATTTCAATATTATGTAGCTTCCAATAATGCGAGAAAGTATGTGCTGTTTTAGTACCACTAGTTTTGTCTTGAGGGTGTCTGTCTAACAGCTAGTAAGTCTATGTTTTTGAACCGGTATTTGTCGTACTCGTCTCTCTCCTCTGTGACTTCAGACGTGTGCACAGATTCATCGCAGGAAGAGTTGGGTGCGCCTTGTATCGTAGTCTCAAATGTGAAGACGTCCTGACGAGGAATTGAATTCTCCCACTGGCGCGCATTGGCTGCGCATCTGAAGCATAGGCGCCAATGCAAGTCCATGGGCTCCAAACTTCTAAAATCTAATTGGACGGGAGGGCAAAAATCATACGAGAACGAAGCTTTGCGCGGGATACATGAGTTCACGATGTGGGAACCCGCCGCGGAGAAAAAAAGAATAGCGAACGTCACCGAGTAAGACAGACGACTAAAAATCACCGAGAGAGACAGACTAGTTCCTGACGCCGAGTATGAGCCTAAACAATGCGTAGGTTTTTTCCAAATTGAAGAAACTTGTCCATCTGCTCGAGACGATACTTTGAGATTAAAAAAAAAAACATTCTTCAAAATGTGGGACTACTTTACATGAAGTCATTTTCAAAATTTTCTCAAAAACCGCTCCAAATTTTTCCCTTTAAATTCTTGTAAAAATAGAGTAACATGCACTTATAAACGTGGCATAAGTTCGATTTTCACGGTAAACTGTGAATTTTCGAAACTTTTAAAAGTATGAATTTTTTTCGGTGTGTGACACGGCTTTGCTAGACACTCACGTTTTTAAGGTGTACAAAGTTGGTGAAGCTAATCTGCCTACTGAAATTAGTGTCTAATTAAAAGGTTGCTATAAAAAAAGAAAAATTCACGTTATTTGAACAATATTAATGTTCCTGATGAATGTAGAGTTTTATAACAATCGTTTTTCAATAGCTATAGCTGTATACGACTGATCAGACTGAAGATGACGACAAAAATGTCGACAAAACTATGCACTTAACTCTTTTCTTAAATTTAAATACATTTTTGTGATTAATGTAATACATTCTATGTGTTTTAAGGTAGAAAAGTTTCGTAATTTACACTTAACAATATGTTATTGCATATCCTTAATGGTAGGAAATGGCATGGAGTTTACGACATTGGCATCGTTGAATAAATAGATTTGAAGCGTTGTTTTGTCGTAGCCTCAGAATCGCAATGAAGATGGCCGCAATGCAACAGAAAAAGCTTTCTGCCAAAATAAACACCTAGGAGAAAACAACACCTTATATCTATTTATTATCTTTAATATTTTGCTTCGACAAAGAACAGTAAGATTAGGCAACATTTCAGAATTAAAATAATTCTTTCAACTTTGACAACATATCACAACTAAGACAAAGATTTTAAAAACAAACCATTTGTAGGATATTGGTCTTACGACTATAATTGAATGAATTGAATTGAGAAAAGTTGTATTTGTAAGTTATTGATCCGGCTTGTATTTTGGCAGCTATGAAGTATTCTGTCCCACTGATTCTATCCAATCAATGTATTTTTGCTCACAGTTATCAATATAAAATATAATTGTTTCCTCAAACACGAAAGCAAATGTTTTAATTGGTAATTATACCAGAAGAAGAAAATAACACAGCTTCCTTAAAGTGTGAATCATACATCGAATAACAGTCTATAACCCTAAGTTATGTACCAACTACAACCATGAACGCGAACGCCAATCAATCCTACAGACTGACAATCTTAAAACTATTTTATACTCTTGTGTTTTTCCGGAAAAATATTAAAATTACGTAAAATACGAAAAATGTATAATAATTTATAAGCCTGGTTGTCAATTGTAAATTACTGTTCTAATACTTGTTTAAATTGTGACTTTACTATTAAATTAAAGCCTGTATTGATTTTCGTATGTCATGTATAGTTGCAATCTCTAATAACCTTGTCGTTGATGCTACTTTAAATTTAAAAAAAAGAGAAAGTCTGTGAAGGGAGGATTTCTTTTCCCCCTTGAGAAACCGCCAGTGGCCAGAATGCTATTAATAGCTCTTTCTTTCCTTTCTTTCTTACCTTGTTTCGAGATACCATATTTTTTGTTCATAAATATTAGGAATAAACAATTTTTGAAGTGTTTTGCGAGTTAAATGAGAGGCTTGTGGTACGATGAGGCGGAACCACCTTCGTCTAGCGTTCTTTTCTTCTATAAACAATACTAAAATAGAAATAAGTGTAAAATAGCAATACATACAAGAAGACACAATTAATTCATGAGATTTATTCACAACATACAATATTCACTACATAAAGGTATGTACATTAAAGGAACAAGTTGACATTCTTGGACTTGTGCTCTTACATTTAATGAAGTATGTAATATAATATTACTAAAGAAATAGCATTTCAGCTGGATAGTAGAAGGGCATGAGTTTAACCTTCTGAGAAAATTCTTTGCTTTAATAATGATTGCGGCAAAATATATCAGAATTTGTATTTTGTATTAGGTTAAAGGTTTCATGAACGTATTGTATCCCTTTTCTAGGCAAATAATTTTATTTCTGTCTTATAGGAGTTGGAATTAAAAAAAAGGTGTTATATGTGAAAGCATCGTTTGAAAAATATTGAGTATTGAAAGAACGTGCCTTTCTTAATAAGCATTTTACAATAGAAATGATGATATGAAGAAGTTAATTTGATGTAATTTTTTGTTCTTTAATTTACATTATTTACAGACTTACAAAAAAGAATCTCAGATAAAAGTAAATTAATATCTACTTCAGAGATTAGTAAAAGGACACATGAGATCAGTGATTGTGGATCAGTGATTAAGGATTGAACTAACTCGTAATTAACCATTAATGGACAGCTAAAGTAAGTTGAATCACTACATCAATACTTAAAGGATTTATACAATACTACTCTGTCTTTTGTAGACTTGAAGATAATTTATTACGATAAAACAACATAATCTGAAAGGAGATGAGAGGGATGGACATCGTAACAATTTGAACCACGGAAGGCGAATATTGATAATTTTAAAAAAATATTAAAACAATCTTATTTTTATCGAAAGTCGGTTTTTTAAATCAATTTCTATGACTTTGGTTTGATTCACAATGGTTTGATTATGAAGTAGGCATACCTACATCACTTGTCATTAGAAAAGAAAAATAATGAACTTCATCCTTCTTCATCCTCAATTTTGAAACTTTGTCATTTAAAAGAAAATATGTATTGTGCAAGTGTGTATTCAATACTTTGGCGCTTTAGTTACTCAGCTCCCCAGAAAACTGCTAGCCTGACGTCCCTGCTTACTATTCGCGCCGGTCACCTCTACGCGCAGTGATGTTGCTAACCACTTCTGCCTGTCACAAAGTTTGCTGAATCTTTTCTTAAAATCTGGTGTATGTTAGAAATTGCTCCCATTATAATTATATTACTGAAAATTTATTATTGTTTTATGATTGTGAGGGTATTGTTTGTCTTAACTATAACATTCAACAAACACAACAAATTAACGTCAAAAGGTGACATATTGGGAGATCTCACAGTCCAGAGACCAGATCTGCCTTGATCTTGCTTGAATTGCCAGATAATCTGTCTTGATATAGAACGTTCTTGCTCCGCAATATTTGATAAAATGTTCATACAAAAAATATCTTTGTATCTAAGTGACTCGCTTGGCAGAATATCCACGGGACACCTCACATGGGATCGAGCCATAAAACTGACTGTTCCAACACCTCAGAATTGTTCAGCAGAGGCGGCTCGAGTAAATTGTCAGCATGTTTGCTCTACAACAAAAAATTCTGCAATTTAAATATTTTAGTTTTTATGAGATATGCAGATTTGTTCCATATGCATAATTGCAGTTGGAAAACATAAGTGCGTAATAAGCAAATCAGGTGGGAGTGTACGTGAGTCCTGCATACCCAGAGATTTACTCCGAGATGCTACCCGGGCGCCACAATGACAAAGCGTAGGCGAAGACCAACCCTTGGCTACAGCGCGGGGTTTTGAAGGGAGAATATTTCCACGATGTTAGCCAAATCTCAGACATCAGGAGGGTCAGACCAAAGAGGACGCCAATGATCTTCAGACCGACAAGCAGGTCTCTTGGAATTAATGTTCCAAACTTCTTGGACCTTTAGAGGGGCTGAAAATTATCACTTTTTGGCAATAAATATATAGTGGTGAAATGAATATAATTATATTATAAGCGTTATACATGTGGTATTTTCTCCTGAACGTACAGCAACCTCGCATTCAGATATTCGGCAAATACATAAAATCTCCTGGACGGCGATGGAAGGTGATCTGCCGAAGATCTATGCTTAGTGGCGTACCCAAGGGGGCTCATGGGGTTTCACTCTGCCATAAGCCAATATGAAAATAAGAAATTACATTTGTATTCACCATTGATGTACACTATATCAAAATTACATCCCCCTCCCCAAGAGAAAAAACTTGAGGAGTTCGCCTAAAACTCGCAAGAACATTTCACATGTGTAACTCCGTTATACTTTCTCACTAAATGTTCGTTGGCAAAAGTAATCATTTCGCCCCCTCCTTTATACCCAAGAAGGTTGTAACATGTATTCTAATCTACCATAACATTATAGTTGGCGCATGAGTATAGAGTACTAAAGAAGAGCGCATCCTTCCTCCGTGGCGTCGTGCCAAGGGAGAGTTGGGTGGGGGAGGGGTGGGGTGGGGGTTGGGGCTCAGTCGGAGGGGAGCGTGGCGATGGAGGCCTCGAGCTGCGCCAGCGACTCCTTGGCGACGGCGCCCAGCGCGCCCTCCGCCGTGTCCGGGGGCTCCAGCAGCAGGATGTCCGCGCTCTCCCTCAGCGCCTTGGCGGCGGCCTCCATGCCCCTCCGCAGCTGGCGCTCGTCCGACACGCCCTGCTCGAACTGCGACCGCGCCAGCAGCAGCAGCGGCGCATGCTGCTCGTACAGCACCGTCCCTGCGCCCACACACACGCCGCACTTCAACCTCAATGCCTTCCATAAATATAAAATGATTTGTATAGTATGCATTTGAAACAGAAAATATTCTTGTGAGTATCTTAAAGTCGATAAAGCCTTCCATTGTTTTATGCCGCTACACATGGTAGAATGCCAATACATTTCATTACCTGAAAGTGAACTTCCAAGTTCTTGTATGACATGAATGTAATATTCTTTCTTTAAAATCTTGTATTGGATCCTACCTCTGCATGTACTTCTTTTCAACTTGGAAAACAGTCAATTCTTTACCACGAATCACGTTACTCAAAGGATCTCTTAAAACTGTTATTTATAACTGTTATACGATTTTAAGACACTTAAAAATTAAACTAAAATGCATGTGTGTGTCACTAGCATATTTACAGGTTACATTCAAGTTTCATATTCTGTTTCAAGTTATTATAATTGTTCATACCCTTGAAAGACAATTTAGTGTTGAGCAAGTATTAACATCTGTTAAAAAAGTTCACACCGCTGATACTTCAAACTATAAATTCGGTGTTTTTTGTAATACAATGAATGTGAATTTAACTTTATTACACTAAATTTATCGGTTCTAAGAACAAGAAGGTCTTATTTTTATTTGAACATAAGTGTAAATGCTATGCTATTAGAATGATACCCAAAAATTTGTACTAAGCAGCTTTTGTTTATTTGTAATAAATTATTAGTCAGTGGCGGCTGGTGTCCCAACAAACTGGAGGGTGCAGCCCCATCAGATGAATTTTGGAAATGTAATTCCAAATCCATCCACTGGATGGAGGTGGGACCTATTACACACTACACAGTGGTTTACTGCGTGGAAGGATGTACATCACACCCCTAGAATTGCTTATGGTCCAGATTTGTACTTAACCAAAAAGAAAATGGTACAATCTGAAAAGTAATGATCTCAGGGAAATATTTTGATGGTGGATGAAGAAGGTAAGAATAAGAATGTGGAGGCAAAATAGAAAATTCAATATACACAGTATAATGTGAAAAAAATAAACAATAAGGTACACTTTTCTGTAAAAGAACAAAAAGGAGAAAATAGAAACACAAAATATGCAATTACAGAAATACCTACATAAAACATGAACACTGTAAAATATCATAATAACCTTTTTAAAATTACATACACTCATAAATACACTGACACTGAGTGTTGGAACATGGGCCGCCAAATTAACTCAAATGTGGCGAACGCTTCGAACGGCTGTTTCGCCACTCTTTGAAGGCATTTCAAAGCAAAGATACAATTCAAACTTCCCGCTTTGGAGATTAGCTAATTTTGCTCAAAAACTACGCGAATTCTTTCTAAATTCACCAAGTACTCATTTTTGTACAAAGCTCTTTGAAATGGACTTTCAACTGCTTCGGAAAATCACTAATAGGTTGCACCACTTCCTGGCGGCCGCGACGAAAGACATTGTCAAATCTGACATTCCAGAATCCAATTTTTTCCACACCAGACGCGACGAGCTCGCATTGTTTGAAAAGCAAGGGAGCAGCGACCAAGCAATACGCGTATGGAGTACATTGAAAGTTGGTGGTACGTTGGCAGCACGTTGGCATGTAGTTTCTTTGAACCATCGCTCTGAGACGCGGAGCGAAAAAGCAGAAAGCATGAATGACGTGAAATTCGTAAGGAGAACGTTTATTTTCGTCCTGACAGAGGTAACAATGACAATCTCTTCAATACTCATTGATTCTTACGACAAAGTGATAATCTTTGTCAATTATACGTATGTCGCTTTTTCCCAAAACTCTCTCGTCTGATGATAACAGAAGGAGATGCATAAAATTTCTCGGTGCAGTTTCTGTTAATGTTCTCCCAATCATCAAAGCAATATTTCGCAGCCTTAACTCTGGGAATCAGGAACTCGATTAAATTTTATCAAGATAACGACCCGAAATACAAATCATATTTAGTGTTGTACAATTGTCCAATAGTGCTGGAACGCCGCCTCAGTCTTCTAATCTCAAACCAATAGAGAATGTATGACATGAAATGGAAATGTAAAGTCAGTAGAATCCCAATTACGTCAAAGTCCCGTCTGCAAGCGAGATTTGAGAAAGAATGGACACAAATTAGACAACAGTATCTGAACAGAATTATTGGTTCAATGTCAAAGCGATTGCAGCATGTCATTAACAATTGTTGTGCTGCAAAGTATTAATTCTCTTTTCGTTTTTTATTTATTCATTTATATTATATTTCATTTCACTTGTCCGAATATTACTGTGGTTAATGAATTCAGACAATTTTATTTTTTATTGAATGCGTCAACTACATTCCGCATATTTGTTTTGTTTATACTGTTATCTGTTAATAAAGGAATAATTGTTTCACTTTCTTGCTTATATTTCTTTCCTACAATCGTCAAAATATCGCAGAACTTACGATTTCTGGAGTTCGTAAAGCTAGGTGACCGATTATTAAAGACAGTCTCTGTAGTAGGCTCGGTACTCCGGCCACAAACCAGCTCCAATTGAGTTTACGATAATAGCATTCCCGTCAGAATGTGAGGCAGTGTGTGGGAAAATGGTATATCAGATATTTACTTATTTTTTCAAGTTGTCACGAATAAGGTACATATGCCACGAGCGAAACCATGAAAATATCCTCATAGAATTTAACGAATTATTAATAATCATGAATAACAATATAATCAGTACAGTTTCCTCTTTTTCGTAGTAATTTATAGGCAGATTGTAACAGATTTCGTCTATACTGTCGACGGGAACGTCTAGTCTGTTCAGCTCATAGAGTAGAGATAAATTATCTCTACTAGTTGTATCTGTCCTCTATGGTTCACTGTGCTGCACTAACTGCACCTGTTCAAAGTGAAGTGATTCGTTCTTTCGCAACGTTTATTACTTTGTTCAATACGGAGGTATCACAGACTGCATAAGTCAATAGACATTTAATTATGTGGTGAGAGGTGAAATAATTCTCATATGATAATACGTGATTGGTCACAGAACGTATACAATAAAGCAACATTATAAACGAGTTGCATACACATTTTTTTGTTAACAGCATTATACATTTATAAGCTAATCATTATTTTATTTTATTTAATCATTATTTATTTGATTTAAAAGAGGTATATATGTAATAACATTGCAGAAAATATGTACTGCACAAAACCTCATAAAAACAATGAAATTATCATAATTTTTTCTTTTCATCCGTTATATTTATCATTAAAGACCGAAAAGTAACACCCGAGAACTCCACGTCTACTCACAAGACTGAATTGTAGTGCAGATGCTACGGTTAGTTTCAAATAGTTTTCTCTCTGTCCGCTCTGTCCGCCCCTTCTGCTCGCCCACCGAGGCGCGCGCGAGGAAGTTTCCCACGTCATCAAGATCAGCCTGTTTGAAAAGCCTTTTCATTCTGGGAAAATTTCCGGGCCGAAATGTCAATATCTTCCAAAAATTATAGTCAGTTCCTAATGAAAAGTAACTATTGTTATTAACTTCTTATTGTTATTAATGTTTAACTAGTAAAAAGTAGTAACTACATCAGTGAAGTACTTACTAATTCCATTTTTAGATATGTTCCTGTGAAAATAGCAAAATATGTTTTATTCTAACGATATACTCTAAATATTAGGCAATTATAAAGACGCCTAAAATATGGAAACAAATACACTATAAAAATTGCATATCTCAACGGAGAAACATGGTTCGATGGACATATTACAATATGCATATATTGAAATGTAATGGAAAGAAGTTATTACATAATTAACATAGCCCTAATTATTATTATCCAAGATCCCATTAAGGACAAGGGCCTTTGAGAATGCTGAATGTAATGATAAAGTAATGATGAGGGGTGAAAGGACATATACTTACTTACATAATTTTATGCATAGTGTCCATGTTAGGTATATACACTTCTCGTGCAGATGGTCCTGGCTTTGATTTACTCTGGGCACTTACGTTTTACTATTAGTTATTCATTGAGACAATTGACGGTAATAGTATTTATACAAAACAAAAAATAACTTGGTTTCAAAAGTACAGTGATCAAACTTCAGCATTTTGATCGCACTCCAGCACTTTGCAATAAGCACTATTGCTGGATAGGTTTTATAAAAATAAAATTATTTTATTTCGAAAATTTATCTTCCACTGTGTATATTGTAATTCTTAAAGATCGTTCCACACACGTATTGCCACCAGTTCTCTCAAATTGTAACTCAGCTGTAACTGTAGCCGGAAATATGCACCCACCGTGAGAGACAGAAAGGCAGACTGCCTTTTAGACGGTCGACTTTACACAAGAAAGTAATCAAATATACCTTTTGAATCAACAAACCTAATATCAAATGAAAAAAATCTTCATATAGCATAAACAGTTAATTCAATACCGTCAACACTAGAAATTCATAAAATTAACTTAGACGAAGACAGAAAATCGGTATTCCCCTCAGACATGCGCAGCGCTCGACGACATGACCCCCACCCACTGGTTGTGCAACCGAAGGAGCTATTGAACCCTGTGTTGAAGCATACATCCAAAGAGTAAATACAGTAAGAGCCAAGAGCGTGACATGCATGACCTGGGAGAACACCAGAATCCGGAGAGATGAGTTCTTAGGGCGCTATCTGGTTAAAAATAGATTGCAGTAATGCAGTATCTTGAATATGTAATATACTTACAACGAAATGTATATTTTAACACAAAATATTTTTAGATTATGTGGGGGTTGTGCACAAATGTGAATAAATCGCCTCTAATATGAAAATTAACGACGTGAGAGAGACACAAAAAAATTACATTTTTCTAATTTTTGAAAAAACAAAAGAATAGAACAATATGGCTTTGATGTAATCTCGTAGAGTACTTTTGCTACTATCCGTACCAAAACTTTAAAGAATTTGGAGCCGTTCTCGAGAAAATCTTGTTTTTGTAATTTTTTAAAATTGCAAATATTTCACGCAGTGTTGCGCGAAAACT